AAGTACCCAGAGACCCCGGTTTGCGAACAGGGAGGACAACGGCATCGAGCCAGTCCTCAGGGACTGACGACGACTCCCAGATCCAATTATACAGACTCAGTAAATACTGAGACGTTCACGGAGGGAGATGGCGAAGCATTTCATAATGAATACCATCGGAGCCCATCGCCGTAGAACCACAGAGAGCCAGGGCAGAACGAAGTTCAGAGAGAGAGAAGGGATCATTATAGGGAAGCTGAAGACGAGTGCAGAAATCTAAAGGACGAGATTCAAGGACAGGTTTACGAAGAAGGAAAGATTGGGGAAGATGAAGACCAGAGCTAACAGAAGAAAAGTGGGAACCCAGTACGGAAGCGACCTGCAACGGGTCCGCCACAAGAGTATCATGGAGGTGAAGGACCGGTGAAACATCGGGAACGAACTTACCCGCTATCTTGCAGATATGCTTCCAAATCTGTGGCAGAGGAGTTTTGGACGTAATTGTTGAGACATAAGATGCCCAACAATCACGTTTAGCCGTATGAATGGCCCTACGGGCCACCGCACTCACTCTTCGAAAGAAAAGAAAAGAATCAGCCGTCTGCCGACAGCGGTGCTTCTTCCAGGCTGCACGCTTACAGCGGACAGCCCGAGCACAGTCTGCATTCCACCAGGGAACGCACTTCCGCGGACCCCAAGAGGAAGAGCGAGGAATAGAGAGGAGGGCAGCGTCAAAGACAGTGTCATGAAAAAGGAGGAGAGCGCGAAGGAGAGGCAGAAGGGAGAGGTCAGAGAGAGCAGCACTGAGGGTAAATAGGTTCCAGTCCGCTTTAGCAAACTGCCACCTAGAGAAGGAGAGGGAAGGACGAAAAGAGAAAAAGGAAATAAGGATGGGGAAATGGTCACTGCCATGGAGGTCATCAAGAACCTGCCACGTGAAATCTAAGTAAAGAGAAGAAGAGCAAAGAGAAAGATCAAGACAGGAAAGGGTGCGAGTCTGAGAGTCCAAATGAGTGGGCTCACCAGAATACAGAAGAGACAGGGAAGAAGAGAGGAGAAACGGCTCAAGAAGGCGACCTCGGGTGTTCGTCAGAACGTCACCCAAAAGAGAATGACGACAATTGAAGTCACCCAGCAGGAGCACAGGCTCCGGCAAGGAGTCCAGGAGGTGTTTCAGATCAAGAAGAGAAAGCAGGACACTCGGGGGGAGATAAATGGAACAAACTGTATACCATTTCCCCACAAAGATACGAGCAGCAGAACAATGGAGAGGTGAAGGAAAAAGTAAGGGGACAAAGGGAACATCAGAGCGAATCAAGAGAGCAGAAGAATTAGGAACCGTTGCTGGGGGGGGGGGGAGGAGAGAAAGGAATAGCCACGAAAGCGACCAGGACGAGCACCAAGCATCGGCTCCTGGAGACAGACACAAAGGGGCGAAAACCGCGAAATCAGAAGTTGGAGTTCGAGGAAATTGACGTAATAACCTCGAACGTTCCATTGAAGAATGGACAACGACGAGAAGAGAAAGGACAACAGAGAACAAGGAAGAAACAAAGGCGAAAGAGCAACATAGCACGTTAAAGAATATCAGGGTCAGCAAAGTCAGGGTTAGGGGGCATGGGTAAACTGAGCAAAGACGGAGGGAAGGAAGCGAGAGAACAGACCAGCGGTGGGCGGGCGAGGTCCGGAGGAGGAGGAGGAAGAGGATGAGACAACGGAGAGGAGCAGTCAAGGACAGCAGCAGGAAGAGGGGAAGTAGAAAGAGAGGAGCGCACCTCAGCAAGGGCAGCAACCGAGAGGGAAGCGGGGGCCAAAGAAACCTCCATAGCAGGAATAGGGGGAGCAATCACCGAAATGGGAGGGGTAGGAGCGATAGAGGCCGAGGAAGAAAGCGAAACCTTCTTACCCGCCGGGGAGGAGGAAGGAGAGGAGCCAGGCTTACGCTTCTGACTGAAAGAGACTGATGTCCCAGCAACTACGTACTGGGCAACGGATTCTGGCGTCTCAACAGAAGCTGAATGAGAGCACACATGACGGCCGTTTGGAGAGCGATGGACATCAGCCCGCACCGGCAGGCGGCGGGGAGAGTCAAGAGACGGATGGGAAGGAGGAACAGAGGGAGACGAGGAAGAAGACACAGGAGACAAGACAGACCGGGTAGAAAGAAGGGGAACCCCAGACAGAGGACCAGGAGGGGGACCCTTCGGGACAGAACTCAAAGGAACAGAGGAGGGGGCAGTGGGCGTATCAGGGTCCAAGGCCCGGAAACGGTTGAGAGTCTGAGGAAGGTGGGAAGGACGAGGAGAGGAAGAGCGCAACACGCAAGCATAAGAGATATTAGCATAAGGTGGGAGCCGGCGAACCTGGTGCCTCGCCTCAGGAAAAGATAAACGCTCCCGGTGCTTCAAGTTGAGGATGGCTGCCTCAAGCTTGTAATGGACACACGCATGGGAGAAGGTAGGATGGGTCTCACCGCAGTTGAAGCAACGAGCCCGGGGAGAAGTACACTCCAACTTAGAGTGACCTTCGCCACCACACAAAGGACAGAGAGAGACAGTCCCAGAGCAGCAGAGGACACCATGCCCAAACCTCCAGCACTTGTTACAGAGCCTAGGAGAAGGAACGTACGCCTGGACAGAGCACCTGGCACCAGCAATAATGACAAGAGGGTGGAAACCGACCATCAAAGGTAATCTTCACAACCCGATGGGGTTGACGGCGACTACCACGAGGGGGATGAGTAAACGTGTCCACCTGGAGAATAGAATGGCCCTGGGCATCAAGGATATGTCGAATATCGTCGTGGCAGTCTCGCAGATCCCGAACACCGGTCGCAACATGGAGGGGGAGGAGAATAGTGCCAACACTGGCGTTCAACCAAGCGTTCTTTGAGACCCGAACAGGGCTCTCACCAAGGCAGGATAAGGCAGCCAAGCGGGAGGCTGCATCCTGAGGAGCAGCAACGACACGTGTACCGAGACGAGTGGGGTTGAAGGTAACAGGCATCCACAGAATCAACGAGATGTCGATGGAGGGAGAAATCGTCAGGAGGCGCAGAATCAAGAGGGAGATCAAAATATTTGGCCCACGAAGCGGGACCAAACAAGGCTTGATAGGTATCAGAACGGGAAGGAATCGAGCGAGGGCAGCCGTGACGAGGACGGCGTTGAAAACCCCCAGATAGGCGGTAAAAGGCGCAGTAGTTACGAGAGATGGAGCCGCGCCAGGGGACGAGGTAGTCACCACTGGGGGCTCGACACAACCACAGAGGAGGGAGGGGAGCTGAGGGGAGGAGTCAGAGAGGCCAAATGAGGAGCAAGGTCGGGACCCAACGCAGCGGGGGCTACAGAGCCCGGTCTTCCAATACAATCTGACTCGGGGGCTTGGTCGCCCACCCCATGAGCCTGAGAGTGTATAAGAGGAACATTCATCAACATAGATACGAAAAGAAACACTTTCATTCATGAATGTGCCCCCACACCCATCAAGGAGCCAAAATTAGAGGCAGGACACCTAACAAGAAGCTATCGCCGATTAAGCCGGGGCCTCCTAGGGGTGCGTCATGAGTATACGCCCCACAAGTGCCACCTTAAGAACCGTCAGTCCGTCGAGATCGGGTTCAGTGACGAAAGGGGGATTGACAATAAAAGGTTCCCCTCGCTCGAGACGTTGGGTACTACAGTTCTACGGGTGCAAGAGTATGCCTCCTCAAACACCCGGGCTTCAAAACAAAAGAAGGTCAAAAGAATGATCAAAACAGACACAAGGTCAGAAGAAAATGACAACGAGAAAGAAGAGAGGGGGGGGGGGGAAACGAAACAAAAGGAAAAGGCATCCAACAAAATTTATGAGGACAGCAGCAGGAGCACAAGGCTACAAAAGGACAGGGGGACCACCCCAAGGAGCATCACACTGGCAACCACCCACCAGCCCCCTCACGGCAGCAACGAGCTGGACAGGGAGGGGGGATAATATCCTCAAGTGGATAATCAAAGAATGAGAAGGAATTGCAAGGCACCTTCTGGAGGGAGCTAATAAGTGGTCATTGGAAAATTTTAAAAATTTAACCACAGAACTTGTTCAAAAAAATGTTCAAAGTAGAAAAAAAAATTAAGGTAACTAGATAGATGACACAGGCAGTAAAAAATTCCTCAGAGTTTTAATAAGAAAAATCTTTACCTCAGAGATAAATCTTTAATCATACTCTACAGAATTATATTTAGCTTAGTTATAAAGCTATATATTTAGTCATTAGTTATAAAGCCATTGATCTTTCCATGACCACTGAGTATTTAACAATTTTGAAATTTGTAATCAGTTAATTTTGGAATGATTAAAAAAAAATTATTTTATCTGTTTTATTTTCGTTTGTTGCTTACACAATACACAGTATCCCTGATAATGGGTGACATACTTAGGAATTCTCACAAGATCAATAATTTAACATGAAACACATTTAATGTACTAACTTTGTATGTAAAGTGTACTATCAAGTTATAAGTAAGCAATTATCAAAAGAAGGCATCAAGCAGGGAAGGCTATGTAGCATCGTCAAATGTGCGGAATAATCAAAGGACGCTAAATATCTCTAAGGATGCCAATATGAGAACAGAAATGCACAAGGTGAACGATATCAAAAGTATCCAATTCACCAAGAATTCTATCGAGGGATAAATGACCATATCAAGTTATAAATAATAATGGATTGGTCATAAGAGTCCAGTATTTACCTTATTCCATCTATATTCTAAGCTAATAATTAATAACCAATAACTACACATTATTCTCATCCATAAAAGCATATTTCTAATTATAAATTACTTTGAAAACAAAATTTCCTGGGAAGTGATATTTTTTAATTTTGTAATTGCCTCCAATGTACTGTATAATAAATGAATATTATTCCCCACAAACTTTGCTTTTACAACCAGGATCAGGCCTTGAAGTATGAGTACGGCTGGGAGGTCAAGGGAATCATCAAAATGGCTGGATTTCTGATGGGTCTCCAAAGTGATTTTTACCAATTTTCCTTGCCATCTTTGCCCTTGGGACAGCAGACACACTAAAGTGCTCTCCCACAGGCGGGACTGGGCACAGCGGATAGTTCTCTGCGAGAAAGACCAATGTCAATTTGGAGCCACTGGTAAACTCTCAAAAGTTGATGATACCCCCACTGCACATCAAATCAAACCTAATTTAACAATTTGTTACAGTTCTAGATAAGAAGTCGGCAGCCTTCAAGTACCTTCAAACTGCTTCCCTAAGCTGTCTGAACAAAGGCCAAAGCCAGTGTCATCACACCACAGATACAGGAGATCCTGGAGTGCAAGGAATTCCCCAAAAAGATCATTAGGAAGAGCAAAGGATCTCAGAACAGCTTTGTTGCAGTGGTTCAGGGATTTCTGGGCATTTGCAAGGTCAAAATGTGTGGGCAGCTGGTTGAGAGGCAAGTAAATAATAATGGCACAATGGGCTACATGGTTGTCCCGTGAAGTCCATATCCGAGATGCTTATCTTGATAAATTCATCAACTTGTGAGTGCACTCAGAGAAGCAAGGATATACTCGACTTTGAATGTTGCTACCATAGACTAGTACATGTATAGTGAGAACATAATGTTGATAATCCTCAAATTTTGCTACAATGTACCTATAAATTTTCTTCAAATTTTCTTACAAAGTACCTGTTAATATTCTTCAAATTTTGCTACAAATTACCTATCTATAATTACTTGTTAGATTATGAACCGGCCTGAAATGCTATGCATGTTAGTAGTTTTGCAAGAATGTAAAACATCAATGCTATGTACTCCTATAGACCCAATGTACATTCTTGTATATAAATAAATAAATAAATAAATAAACAAACAAACAAACATGATAGTGGGACTACATTTGTGGACTAATTCATGAAAATGTTTTAAAGTACAATCACAAATCTCGAAAACTACTTGCCTCTTAATTAAATATTTTGTGGCCATTTTTAAAAAACATTAGTATAAATGTGTGTGTTTCCGATTTGAAATGAACAGAAAGATTAAAATTTGCCTGTATTCTCAATGAAAACGGGTAAATTTAACAATATCAATCCTGGTCACAGAAACAAAGTTTGAGGGGAACACTTGCCATTTTCTTTACTTTTTAGGCCTAAACAATTAGCAAATAACACCACCCAGGAACAAAAATTGTGTTACATTTTGAATCGGTCAAAACAATATAGATTACCAGCCCTTTACTTCTATATCTGAGAACACAATGGAGTTTACTGATCATGCATACTGAAAAAATATATATTTAAACTAGGCCTATACATTAAAATAAAATAAAAAGTAGGCACCTTATAAACAGTTTAATACTGAATGAGAATACAATACGTATGCTTGAACATCATAAATATTTAACTTCATAAGCAGATTTCGGTATCAATCATATAGTTGGTAAACAGTTTACACAAAACACTATCAGTAACCACCAAATTACCCCCAAGGAAAAAGCAATTTCTGAAGTCAGTCTAATATAATTAAAAAAGTCTGACATTAAAACTACCAAGACTAAAAGTGATACAGTCAAGCTATTGTAACTACTGAAAGTTACCTAGCATGCCTTAGTAAAAAAAATATATATCTAAGGTAGTTTGATTAATGTAAACAGCTAATTGCTTTGAATGGAAGGTTTGGAGAAATTTACATCAGTCAGCCACAAGGCATGACAACTTAACATAAAATAATTAATACTCCCATATCAAAGGTTGTAGACACCAGCAAAATAAGCAACTATCCAGAGTAAGACAACAGATGTCTATACTATACTTCAAAAAATCAATGTGTATATCTCAAGTCAAGAAAATGGACTTGTGTTGAGTACATCATAAACTGTTTTTTCTACTCACTTCCCAAATTTTTAAAACAACATTTGACAAAAGGAAAATGTCCTTAGGCTAATCCAGCTGCTAGAGACTTTATGGTATTTTAAATAAATTTCTTAACAGATCAAGTAAAAAAAAGAATTTTTAAAATATGGAAAAAGCCTCCCCTTGACATTTACTTGGTCTGATGTGCATCTTACTTCTACAGAAGATTAATTATGAGCTATAAAACACTAAGCTATGCAAACGGAGAGAGGTCTTTGTAGACGTCCAACTGATAAGGTGACAGCATGACATTCTCAACAAGGTCACAATTTCTAAATTCCAAATTGCTTTATTGTTAAGTTAATATCTTGATATGCATCACATCCAATACTACCAAATTGGATTATACTGTACTTGCAAGAATTATCTAACAAATACCATCTAGTGCCATTAAAATTGTAACCCTTGAAGTGCAGTTATTACTGTATGCCGCTCCCAGTGGTGATGGTTATCATCAGACATTGATTTTAACCATTATCACTCAGTTTTTATAGAAAAGATGGAATTCTGGCACTCTGCCTGACTCTAATGATTTGTTAAATATAGTACACAATGGCTCGTAAAGCTCCTCTATGCATTCTTTAAGCACCCAGACAAACACTTCGTCTGGCCCAGAGGACTTGTTAGGCTTCAGTTTCACTATTTGTTTCATAACATCCTTCAGGGTAACTGCTAAACTAGTCATCCTATCCTCTCCCCCCACCCACATAGACATGTTTGGCTGAAGGCATGTTAACTTCCTCTTTAGTAAATACAGAGATAAAATATTTATTAAAAATACTAAGGAGCGTTAGTGTTTATCTACGTTAAGGAACGTAGTATACAATACAAATTGAATAGGTCGAATACTAATGACCCAAAATGGACAACAAAGGATCTGAAGAACCTTATAGGTAGAAAGAGAGCTTGTACAAAAAATTAATGAATAAATGGATATAACAAAGGAGATATTAATGGGGTCTTAGAGGTATCAACATGGAACAGAACACAAACCAATGGTTTGTTTGTTGTTAAAGATTTGCTACCTGGAACAAAAAGTCCCAAGCAACACGGGCTATGGTGAGCCCATCTTAAAACCAATGGGTGTAGACTGGATGAGTTTGGATTTCGGAAAGACCTGGGTGGGTACTGGTTCAGTGGTGGGGTTGTTGATTTGTGGAGCCAGTTGCCACGTGGCATGGTGGTTGGGTCCCTTGATTGTTTCATGTGTGGGTTTGATGAGTGGGATTGGGTGGTTATAAATAGGAGCTGCCTCGCATGGGCCAATAGGCATTCTGCAGTTACCTTCATTCTTATGATGTAAAGATGTAAAAATGGTTATAATATGAATGTAATGGAGTTAAAATAGCCCCATGAAAAAATTCTGCTATCATTTTTAATTGCTTATTATGCCATGAGGGTATCATGTACTAGTGGTCTGACGTTATCGTCAAATCACAATTTAGCTGACCGCCTGTGCTAGAATATTTTTCTGGAAGATAATATCAGACTACTGTATGTAGCTGCAAAGGGGTGGGTAGCATGGAAAGGTAATTATCAGGAGAAAGTACCAAGCCACTATAACCATACTGTATAGCACTTGCAATGCACAGGAAGACAAGGACCCGAGATACAGCAGAGGGAAGGAATGTGCCCAACCACTTGTATGGTCAGGGTTTGAACGCCAACCTGCAAGAAATGAGACTGATGCTGAACTGACCAGTCCAAGTGGGGTGGGCTGCAAAGAATTTCCTTTGAGCTATGCCAGGAACAGATTTACATACACTACAGGTGTACATATTACACTTGTAGGCCCATGTACAGTACATAATCACTTTTCTGTCAATTATGTGCAAATAAATCATGCTATTCCCCACACTGTTTAAACTAAAGCAAAATAGCAAACATGTAATCCGCCTAACTTTATCACACCACTCTCCCCTACACGAAGAGTCAGCAAAATTGTTGACCAAACCACACACTAGAAAGTGAAGGGACTACGACATTTCGGTCCGTCCCTTCATTTTCTATTGTGTGGTTTGGTCAACATGTTTCAGCCACATTATTGTGACTCCTCGTCTGCATACTGCAAAACTGTCTCTCCACAAGTTCATGGACCTAATGACTTAACCCACACAGAACCTCCCATTGCATTTAAATCATAAACATAATTACAGTATTTACATTTTTAATTACCTTAAGTTTTGCAAGCTTAAATGTATAATTTATAAGAGGTTTGTTCTAATTTTTTTATTATTGCACAGACAGATGGCACCTTTTATAATAGCTGTACTCCAAGGATTAACATAATTAATTGAATAATCAAAGATTTCATATTAAATTAATTAATAACAAATAAGACCTTTTTCCTTAAGACAGGACACTAGGCAATGTGAGGTTTAACATCTGAATGCAATGACACATGCTTTTTCATATGTCTAAGATACTTATATTTTTTCCCACATTTGGGACATTCATAAGGCTTAATATCCGAATGCACTTTCTTGTGTTCATATAAATTTTTAGGACGCATGAACCTTTTTCCACAATCAGGACATTCATAAGACTTATCAGTAGAATGAATGAACCTGTGAGACTTCATTGAGTCAAGACGACCAAATGTTTTGCCACACACTGTACACTCGTAATGCTTATCACCTGAATGCACGACCCTGTGCCTCTTAAGAGTTGTAGGATTACTGAATCCTCTCCCACATTCAGGGCATTCATAAGGCTTGTCACTCGTATGTATCACCATGTGAATCCTCAGATTTGAAAAACGACTGAATCTTTTTCCACACTCTGTACACTCATATGGCTGATCACCCTTAAGCACCATCCTGTCTGTTTTCACATCTCGAAGACTGAACCTATTCGCAAGCTCGGGACACTCCTGAGGCTTGTCACCCATATGCACCATTCTGTGAGACTTCATAGTGCCTAAACGACTAAATCTTTTCCCACACTCTGGACACTCATGAGGTCTATCATTCGAATGAATCTGCATGTGTTTTATCATAACTCCACGTTCTCTGAATTTTCTCCCACATTCAGCGCACTCAAAAGGCCTATGATCAGAATGCACCTGCATGTGAGCCTTCATACCTCTAACACGTCTAAATCTTTTCCCACACTCTGGACACTCATGAGGCATGTCATCCGAATGTACAGTTATGTGATTCTTCAAGCATGAAAATTGACGGAATCTTTTCCCACACACTAGGCATCCATGAGGCTTTTCATCCGAATGCACCAACATGTGAGACTTCACAGTTCCACTATGACGGAATTTTTTCCCACACACTGGACATTCATGAGGCTTTTCACCTGTGTGCACTAACATGTGAGTCTTTACTTGTCCTGAAGTGGCGAATGCTCTCCCACATTCTGCACATTCGTGGGTTTTCATCTTCTTCGCGACTGTGCAGTTTGTGTAAAGGTCATCTTCTTCCGATAACTGCATTAGTTGTGTTAGGACTTCGGGCATTTCCTGGAGACACATGACTGCCGCTGGATATAATTAAAACGGCGTTACTTTATGCTTGGTGCCACAAATGTTGTCTCCTGATGACTGCTGGAGTTGTCTCGTCACTTGAGGCGTCTCCTGGAGAGAGAACACTGCTGCTGAAGGATATTAGGCCAGGATATAATGTTGTTGTTGATTTAGGGCCACAATGACAAAACGACAGATGTGTCCTAGTGTTCGCTTGTAGGGTAATCCCCAAAGCGTCGAGACAGTTTACAAGTTACCCGTCTGTGAAAAACTACTGTGTCTTGGGGAAAATAAACGCAATTTTTAGCATACATTTAGTGAGCCTCTGGTGTCCACCAGAGAGGCAAGGGACAGACATCACCCGACACAGAAGCAGTAGGAAGACTATCAGCACCAAGGGACCCCAGACAAGGTGTCAGACGTCCTGTAAACTCTGGGTCAACAAACTTATGGGAGAATCATGCTGGTCGCTCCTGAGCTCGAGCCCACTCTTGCTAAAACGTCTTCCAGTGACCTCCGGCAGATCAATATCCAGGAGCCCATAAAGACGCACCAACTCCCGGCACCTCTCCGCCAAGCTGGCGCCGGAAACAGTCTCTACGCCCGAAGAACCAAACGGTAAATGGAAAAACAAAAAAATCTATCCACTTCCGCCTGTCAAGCGAGACACATGCGCCAGGCGCCCTAACGACCCGGACCGCTAAATAGGAACGCCTAACAACTGTACCGAGCCCCGGTGGTCAGGAACTATGGAACGTGTTCCTGCAGGCCCCAGGAACAGCAGGGAGGTCAGGAAGTTTAGTCGTTGTCGAGGTTAAACCAGAATAATATGGAGAACTTCCCGGTGACGCTTGTTGTGATGGCGTCGGGCGCTTCCTCTCCCGTGGCTATGGTCACGTTTTCTTTGATCTGCGACGTTGGATAAACTGGGATATATTTGACTGAATTGGAATTTACCGGAATTTACATGAGGAGTCATTATCACGGTAGTGGTTCGACGGAAACAGGAAGCTAGCGGGACAAAAATTGTTGGGTATATTTCCAATCAACTAATGGAGCTGTTCATCTAGCAGTCTCGCCACAGGATTGGTATGGGGTCCACTTTGGCCTTACGTCTTCAGCGGGTAGGCAGTTCCACGGTTTACAGCCCTATGGGTGAAAAAGCATTTCCTGTTTCCTATCTTAAACAACCTAGTGCTTTAAACTCGCACTGTATCCAGTTTTACCCAATTCCCCAATATATGTGCCTAAGCCATACAACTTTAACATGGTATTCATTCATTTATTTATTTATTTATTTATTTATTTATTTATTTATTTATTTATGTATTTATATACAAGAAGGTACATTGGGTTTGTGAGAATACATAGCATAGTATTTACAGTCTTGTAAAGCCACTAGCACGCGCAGCGTTTCGGGCAGGTCCTTAATCTAACAGATAATTTTAAGTAGGTAAATACTTGCAAAATTTATAAAAAATGATAACAGTTACAAGGCAAGAAAAAAAAAGATGAGAGAAAATTGTAGGTATATTAAAGCACATAGGTTCTTCTTAACCTTCTTCCTTCTTCCTTAACCTTAAACCTTCTTAAATTACATCATTATGGAGTCAGAGGACACTCCCTGCAATACCTCAAATCTTACCTTACTGACAGGCTTCAGTATGTTTCTGTGAATAATACAATTTCTCCCACCCTACCCATCAACATTGGTGTTCCTCAGGGCAGCATACTTGGCCCTCTCCTCTTTCTCATCTACATTAATGACCTTCCAAATTCCTCCCAACACCTCAAACCAATTCTATTTGCTAACGACACAACCTTCATTTACTCCAGTCCTGACTCCCTTGCTCTAAATGCTACTGTAAATACTGAGCTAAAGAAAGTCCATCTTTGGCTAACTGCCAACAAACTCACCCTTAACATTGACAAAACGTTTTATATTCTGTTTGGCAATAAATCCTCTAATCAAATAAATCTCAAAATAAACAATACCCAAATTTGTAACAAATTAGATGGCAAATTCCTTGGCGTTCTCATCGACCACAAGCTGAATTTCCAGGGACACATTCTAAATATATAAAAAAAAAGTTTCAAAAACTGTTGGCATTCTTTCTAAGATCAGATATTATGTACCCCGCCCTGCTCTGGTGACTCTCTATTACTCCCTCATCTATCTATATCTCAACTATGGTATTTGTGCTTGGGGTTCTACTACCCAAAATCATTTACGTCCTCTAATTACTCAACACAAAGCTGCTATTAGAACAATATCCAACTCTGGCCCCAGACATCACTCGGTACCCTTACTCAAATCTCTGAATATGTTAGTTTCTGACCAGGGGGAGAAAGATACTGGCAGTATGGGGCGTTAAAGTTTATTGAAGATTAAATTCTGCAGAACATGTAAATATATAAAGTTCACATAAAGTAAGTAATTATATAAAGTTTATATTAAACACGGTTTATTATAGGCTTAACAAAGTTGATATTATATAAAACTTAATATTGAACATGTAAATATACAAAGTTTCAAATATAATTTAAGGAATATATAACGTTTATATTAAAATATATAAAGTAAATATATAAAGTAAATATATAAAGTAAGAATTAACAGTAACAATTCCAAGGACTAGATTTAACTTAAAAGGTACACCCGTAGTAAGTATGAGACCTTAGCCTATAGTGACATGGAAACTAATTCTGCAGAAACCTAAAGGTTAACTGGTACTAGAATTAAGGCCGAGTGCAAATGTGTAGTAATTATATAACACTAGGATATAACAGGCAGGACACAAAGAATAACTAATAAGTGAGAGACCACATAACACGTAATGTACCCGGCCAAGAGGCCGTAAAAGACCTAATGGATAAGGAGAAGGGGGTGTGACTACAAGTAGGGCTTACTAGCACCTAGACTGGGCAAAGTATTAGCTGCGGACAGCGGGACACTTGGGGACCGGCGCTGCACCCCCACCGCAGGCCAGCGGCCGGACCCCCCCCCGAAGGGCGAGTGCCAGCTGGCCGCATGAGGCACTCAATGTAGCAGAGCAACAACGTCCCGTCTGACGTAGGATGTGAGCACTACTCTTCCGCCTGCCGTTTGCCATTATTTCTGATGTGGCGAGCCCGTCCCGCGACAGCTGGGTGCGGAGCGTAGTCATCTGGAGTCAAGCCTAGCGCCGAGAGGGCAGCGCGTAGGATCCTGGAGAAATCTCGCCTGGTGACAGGAGCGCTTGTAGGATCTGTGCTTGTAGGATCCGAAGAGTGTTGATTCCTGACCATGTAAGCGATACCTGGTCCAGTCGGAGCGTGCGTCGATTTTTTGTCGCGTAGCTCACCTCCCCCGGGCTGAAAGATATAAGGCAGTAAGGGTGGGCAGAAGCGGCGTGCAGTGTTATCGTGACAGGCAAGAGCACAGACGAGAGGGAAACCCTAGCTGAATCAATACGGAGACGAAAAACGGGGGAGGGAGCCCGGCAGCAGGAATTAAGAGAAACCTTAATTAACAATCCTGGATGAATAAAGAGCATCCGAATAATTATACTGTAGCAATGAAGGGGGGGGCTAACAAATCTAAGAATCTTCCAGCAAACGGAAGGGGGAAGTACCTTTGCTAAGAGCAAAGGTGGGAGAAAACCGGTAGAACAGCAAGGAGGCACAAAGCAACTATAACAGGGTAAGACGAAACACTATAAATCTTGAATATAAACAATACATATACCAAGAAAGGGTATAACAACTAAGCAACATATACATAAACAATAAAATGGAATAAGAACCAATTCTTAAAGCCAAATCTATAACATGCTTGTGTCCTAATCGGATGTAGAATGTGAGCGGGGAACATTACCCTTGGTCTCTATCCCATCTCTGCCTCCAGACGGGTGATTGAGTCTGGAGGCAGACTCCGCCTCACCAGACGGGTGAGGCGGAGCCCCGTTGTGCGCCCGTATTTATACGGCCCCAAACTGCCCGCGCAACGCCGCGGGACGCGCTGCGCAATTGTTTCTTTCTCCCCCGCCAGAAACATCCCCGCTTGTGTTGCAAGCAGTGACCATATATTAAGTCACTGCACATTCTCTCATGTGTATTATACATATATAAAACGCTGAACTGTAATGCCAATCCTGACCTCAAAAGATTCATTGAAGGTTGTAACAGAACCCATGAGCACCACACCAGAAATAAATACAGTTTTGATATTCCTAGAGTACGACTTAATCAAACTAGAAATGCTCTTCAAATCAAGGGACCCAAAATGTGGAATGACCTTCCCAACCATGTTAAAGACTGTACCTCTCTCAACCAGTTTAAGATAAAAACGAAGCACTACCTAATAAATTCCCTGTAACCTACCTTACCCCTCTGTTGTCAACCCATGTCTGTTTTTTTTCAAAACAACGCTGTTTGAATGTAATTGTCTGTAATAATTTGTAATTGTATTGTGCTGCTTTTTCAGCCATGTTCCCCCTCTTTTACCTTTATTTTTATTTGTTCTCAACACATTTTATTCTTTATACCCATTAGTATTAAGCTTTAGTCATTAATGTTTTTCCTGCCCGAAACGCTTTGCGTAATAGTGGCTTTAGGCATTGTATGTACTAGCTCTATCTATTAATCCAACAAACTTTGTAAAATCTCTTGTATGTATGTAC